TAAGACTTCAAAACCCTAAACCCTAACAAGTAAGACTTCAAAAGCCAGTATCAGCCCGACTTCGGCTCGGGAGGCCATGACGTGCCCCCCGGAGTTCACACGGCGACGCAGCGACGCATTCTCAAGCAGTTCTGGTAGCCATGGCGCAGGAGTGCTCGTTTTTCAGGGCTTAGTCTAGGGTTTAGGGTTTTAGGGTTTTAGGGCTGGTCGGGTCTAGGGTTTAGGGCTCGTTGGATCTAGCTGTTTTTTTGGATATTGAGGGTCAGGCTGGAAATCGGGTTAAAGGGTTAGGGTCATCGCTTTGGTGTTCTATAAGCCTGGAATTTGAAGTTTAGGGTGTAGGACCTTATGGTGTAGGGTTTCTAGGCTTCTCAAATGTTAAGTTGTAGTTCAGACACTCATGGCCCTAGCAAGTGCAGCTGTCTTTGCCACAGCTACTTCAGGAGATTCCCTAAACCTCCTTATCACATGATAGTCTAAACTTGAATGACTTCGTGGTCCATGGCCAATAATTCGTGGTCCATCGCCAATAGTTCGTGGTCCATGGCCATGGCAAGAATTCGTGGTCCATGGCCAATATTTCGTGGACCATGGCCGAACGAATTTGGGCAATAAACCATGGTTAATTGCAAATTTGCCTTTATGGTCCATGGCCAATGATTCTTTTGGCCATAAACCTGGCCTTAAACCACGAATATTAGGGCTCCTGGGTTTAAAGCTCCTGGGTTAAGGGTGAATCAAATCCAGCTGTGAATGGAACTCATTCATGTAAATGAAATTAACTAACTGTATGTATATGTTTCGATGTCATGGGATTCCAGGGTGGGTGGGTGTTATGTCTGTCTAAATCGCGAATGTAACTTTATTATAGAACTGCTCGATCCGGAGCTGCTGAACCCTAAACCCTAAACTCCTAAACCCCTAAACCCTTAAACCCTAAACCTTAAACTCCTAAACCCCTAAGCCCTAAATCCCTAAATCCTTAACCCCTAAAGCCCTAAACCCCTAAATCCTAAACCCCTAAAGCCCTAAACCCCTAAATCCTAAACCCCTAGAGCCCTATGAAACAGGGAAGCTTGTCTCACCTGGTGCAGGCCGACGGCGGAAGCAGACGAAAGTCCGATCCAGTACACCTCAAAAAGAACCTGTCTACATGAACCCTAAACCCTAAACCCTAAACCCTAACCCTAAACCCTAAACCCTAAACCCTAAACCCTAAACCCTAACTGACTCCGAGGGTCGGGGAGCTAAACAAAGTAAACCCAAAGAGCCCGAGGCTTTTAGGGTTTAGATTTTAGGGTTTAGGGTTCTGAATTAAGGAAGAGACCTCCCAGAGAGCCCAATAACCCTTAAACAAGGATTATACCTTAAATCATAATATTAAGCCCCTTATAACTTAAGGTCTATTTCCTTAATTCAGGGTTATTGGGCTCTCTGGGCTTAGATGATTATGATTATGAGGGGCCTCATTTTATGACGTACGCTATAGGTTTAGGGTTTAGGGGTTTAGGGGTTTGGGGGTTAGGATCTAAGACATTTTCAGGTGGGTAGTTTCCGTTATAGGAGCCTTATAGAAGGTCTATATACCTTATGGAAGCCGTATAGAAGCCCTATCATACCCTAAACTCCCCACTTGAAAATGTCCTAGACCTAAACCCTTAGCCCTAAACCCTTATGACGCCTAAGCCCGAAAACGCTAGCTTACACAACCTATAGACCCTAAACCCTAAACCCTAAACCCTAAACCCTAAACAAGGCCCTAATCCCCGACCTGGAGTTTCCTTAGCAGGACAGGAAAGCCTTCCTCCTGATGTCGAGATCCCGAGCACAATGCTGAGGCTTGACGGCTTGAGGGTTTAGGGTTTAGGGTTTAGGGTTTAGGGTTTAGGGTTTAGGGGCAATGCTGAATCTCTGGCGGAAGTTCGCAAGGGGTCAGGTTTTCCAGATGTTTTATAGTGGGCCTTCACAAATACCTATACTTATACTATTTGGGGGGTTCCTTATCAGTTATAACTATGGTACAATATACCCCAAACCCTATTCCAATTATTAAGGCCCCTACATTAGGCCCCAAATTCCAACTAGGTTCAACAAAAGCCCTAAACCAAAACCCCTATCCGAATTATTAAGGTCCCTTCATAAAGTTTAGGCTTCGTTTTCAGGGTTCGTGGATTCGGGCCTCAGGGCCTGGGTTGAGTGCTCGGGCTTAGGAGTGATATGGCTTCGTACCTTAAGGACGAAAAGAGCACCTAAAAGGGTTTAGGGTTCGTATACCATATAGGGCCCCTACTTTTAAGGGTCTTTTGGTCCTTCAGGTAGAGAGCCTGCGCCTTGGGGTCACATGAGCTTGCAAGTGTAGAGCCACTAGGCTTCCCAGCAGCCCTCCTGGTTATATTAGGAGGGTTTAGGGGTTTAGGGTCCAGGGCTTCGAGGTTGTATGGTTTAGGAGCTACCTATACTTACTTGGAGGGTCAGAGGACTCAGTAAGTAGGTAGTCAGTAGAGTTATAAGTACCGTGAAAAGGATCCTAATTGAGGTTGCTATACTTGATAGTCTATAAGACAACTACTTACTAAGTCCTTCCGCACCCTCCAAGTGAAGAAAGGATCCTCTGGCAGGTGGCATGTAAGGTTGTAGGCAAGCCTATAACTAGACTAAGTCCACCCTATAAGACCTTGCTTTTCAGGGCTCCTTATTAAGAATTTTCTATGAGTCCTTAAACAGGTAGGTTATTTGGGGTCCATGTAGGACAACCCTACTTAGAACAACTTTTAATCCCAATTCTACTTCGTACTTCCTTTTGTAGAAACTCTTCTTTCTAGCAAGTACTTCGGATTCCACGGCCCCAAATAGAACCCTCATATAGGGTTTAGGGTTTAGGGTTTAGGGTTTAGGGTTTAGGGTTTAGGGTTTAGGGTATGAACCTGCGACACGTAGTACCAGCCAGCAATCTTGTAGCACGAGACCTGGGTCATCCAAGGACTATGTCCACGCCGCCGATGACCCTGCTGGCTGATGGGTGGCAGCAGGAGTTCCGTAAACCCGAAACCCTAAACACCGTTCGGAGGCCGGAAGGGTGGGATTGAGGTAACCTGGCTTCGGGGTTTCAGTATCCGTCTACTCGTTAGTATAGCAGCCGTACTCATTAGAAAAGGGTGCTGGCGCTAGGGATCAGGTTCGATGCTTGGGAACTATGTAAACCCACACCCTAAGTCCAAACCACAGCAGTGTCACATTCCTCTAACATGCGAACGTTGAGACTGTCGATGTCGTTGCACCACCCGCTTGAGCCAAAAGCCGTGCAAATTCCCAAACCGTAAACCCTAAACCGACAAAGCGTAGAAGCCTATAAGACCCTACAAGACGCTTCCAGAGACGTTTAACGCCATGCAAGCATGTTGCCAAGCCGTCATCATATTCTTACCAGTATTATTGCTATTACTTGCAGTAATATTGTTGATTTTTATTTTTACTGATTATATATTCTAGTTATTCGTATTATTACTATTATTATTACTGTTACTTGTTGTTGTTATTCTATGATGTTTTCACGGACACCGAAGACAGGACTTGGCACGGGACCGCATGGGCCAGACCCCCGCCACTGAGATGCGAGTGTGGGTGTTTGGCTTGGGGTTTAGGGCTTTGGGCTTAGGGTTCAGTCTGGTGTAGACTTACCTTCTGCTGCTCTTCGTTGGTGCAGAGATTTTGGGATTTGTTTTTGAGTTTGATCGCAAAAACGGTTTGGGCTTTGGGGTTGTTTTCGGGCTTAGGGGGTGGGTTTATTGTGTTTTATGGATGAAAGGTTGTTGGACCCTAAATGCTAACAGAACCCTCAGACGTACTTCCTTGGCTCTTAAATAACGAAGCTTAAAAGCCCTAAACCCTGTCCTAACGCTCAAATGACCCTTAAAAGTAGGGTCCCTATACCATCATACTATGAATCCCCTTCTATGGTGTATGAACCTTAAGCCTTTTAGGGTTCATCTAGTCTTCAAGGTATACCTAAGGCCATAAACAAACCCTAGTGATCCAAACCCCTGCAGAATCCCGGCAGGACCTCTAATGGAATCCTTCAAGAACCATATCTTCAAGGAGTCGAGCTATTCGTAACTTAGTTCCCCAATAGCCAACCTTTAGACATTTGGGGTTCTCATAACTTAGCAGTAACCTCTTACTGCCCTGGCTTCTTGGGGAAGTAAGGTGTGATAGTAGTCACCTTATAGTCTTCTTACACCTGTACGAAAATATGCCCCCGAGACCCCTCCATGTTGTATCAAGGCCCCCATATTAAGCTGTCATTGCCCTTCAGACAAGCCCTAGTAGTAAGCCGTATAGAACCCGGCAAGGAACCCTATTCTAGTATAATAGTGTTAAGGGCCCACATAGAACGTTTATAAGGACCCTAGACCCTAAACCCTAAACCCTAAACCCTAAGCCCTTAGCCCCTAAGTTTAAAGAAGCCCTGTGAATTCCCAGAGCCGCCTTGAACCATAGACCCTAATTGGGGGCTTTCGGTCTTCGGGTTTACGGCCTCAGGGTTTAGGGAAAAGGGCCTGAGGGTTAAGGGTTTGGGGCCTAAGTTACTAAGGGTTTAGGGTTTAGGGTTTAGGGTTTAGGGTTTAGGGTTTAGGGCCTTGGGGTTTATAGAGCTTGTTGAGGGTGCAGGTCTGGCGTTGGTTTCGCTGTTTGCTTCGCCCTAAATTCAGTTGTCCGTTGAAACTTGGCTCTTTCTTTTTCGAGTAGAAATTGAAAATGTTTAGGGTTCAGGTCAGGGTTTAGGGTTTAGGGTTTAGGGTTCAGGGTTAAGGGAGTTTTGACCGACGTTATTGGTTGGGGTAGACACTTGTTTCTGGAACTTTCGTTTCTCTGCTTCAATTCTGCCCGTCAAACATTGAAAGCAGAGCAATCTATGGCCATGCACATTAGGACAAACAATTTCTGCTTATCCTGGGCTTGAGGGTTTAGGGTTATGGGTTTAGGGTCTTAGGGTTTAGGGTTTAGGGTTTAGGGCCGTAGGGTTTAGGGTGCACGAAGCCGCCCCAAACCCTAAACCCTAAACCCTAAACCCTAAGCCGCCTTGAGGTGGTCGAGCCACTTTGCACGCAGGGCATCGACGACTTCCGCCGCGCGACACTGGAGACGCAGCAACTGCTGGCAGCCCTCCAGGCGATCTAGGTTCCTTTAATTAGGGTTTAGGGTTTAGAGTTTAGGGTTTAGGGTTTAGGGTTTAGGGTTTAGGGTTTAGGGTTTAGAGTTTAGGGTTTAGGGTTTAGAGTTTAGGGTTCAGGGTTTAGGAGGAACCCAAAAAGGACATAAGCATAAGCATTTTCAAGGGAGATCCCTACCTCATTGGGCTTCATTTTCAAATGGGGTTTATATGGGGCATCCCTATCCTGATTTTTGCTTATGTGCCTTTTTGGGGCCCTATTAGGTTCCTTTAAGGGTTCCCCTAGTTCCCGAATACCCAACCTTTAAGGGTTTAGGGTTTAGGATTTAGGAACTTATTGGGTTCTGATAATTTTGTAGTAATCTGAAAGTTCAACCTTACGATTTAGGTTCCTTTCAGGATTCCCTGAACTAAGGGCTTTATTATAGCCCAAACCCTAAACCCTAAACCCTAAACCCTAAACCCTAAACCCTAAACCCTAAACCCCAAACAGTGAAGAGAGATTTAGGTTCCTTGAAGGATTCCCTTAGCTAAGGGCTTCCTGGGGATTCGGGTTTAGGGTTTAGGGTTTAGGGTTTAGGGTTTAGGGTTTTACAGGTTCTACCCTCTAACTTAAGGGGTCGCAACCTACCATTTTGTAGGGTTTCGGGTCTCACAGGTTCGTTATTATAACCCCATAGTGAAGGAAGGGATCATAACTTGCTATTTTCTACGGCTTGTGGCTGCAGGTAGCTGTTCGGGTCATAGGCTTTGCCGGCTTAGCTTGCCTTCCCAATAAGCCAGGGAAACAATAGGTCAAACTTTCAGATTTCTACTAAGTCATAAGAACCAAAAAAGTGTGAAGGTTGGGTATTTGGGAACTAAGTTAGTTCCCCAATACCCAACCTTCAAGCTTTTTGGGTTCCTATAATTTAGTAGTAATCTGAAAGTTTAACCGTTTATTTCAGTGTTTTATTGGGGAAGTAAGTTAAGGATTCCTCAGGTGTTCTATGGGATGTGGCGTTGAGGATAGAGGGTTGAGGGTTTAGGGATTTAGTGTTTAGGGTTTAAATAGGTTCCTTTTACGGGTTCCGTTATGACTTCCCTAGCAGGGGTTTGCTGGGGTTTCGGGGTCCAGGCGATCTTGACAACAGAATGCAAGTCTCTGCTTATAGCAAGAACAAGAGTCAGGAGTGGCAGCCGCCCTGAACCCTAAGTACGTAATCATATGTGGGATCTTGCAGGGGCAGTCCTCCGAGTTTTCCACACTTATGTGCCATAAATGCTGTGGCCTTGTGGGAAAACCCTAAACCCTAAACCCTAAACCGTGTTGAAGAGTGGCTCTCAGAGCTGGCTGGGAAGTCAGTGAAGGTTGCTTTCGAAGACATCGCAGTCCTTATCAATGGAGATGATATTCTCTTAGGGTTTAGGGTTTAGGGTTTCTTCCTCACGTGTAAGAGGCTCAACGAAATTTGGGAAGAGAAGGTTCGCATGATTGGCTTCACTCTCAGCGTGGGTAAGTCGTACATCCATCCCACCTTCCTCACTGCAAACAGCGAAGGCTGGATATGCACCGAGACGAAGGATGGAGGCGTGACCTTTAGGAAACTGGGCTATCTCAACCCAGGTCTCCTCTACAGCGGCCAGCGTGCCTCGCGATTCCAGAAATGGATTGCTGAACGTATTTTGTCCAACGGAGCTTGCATCCACGGCCAACCCATCAGCGGCCATCCCGAATCCATCCGCCATCGACCCAGCATGGGGCAGCTTGGAGGACTTGGAATCGACGCCCCTCCTGGGCCTGACGTGTCCTTCACCACCTTTCAACGTCAGATGGCAGCCATGCTCCTTCAACGGTACAAGAAGCTCGTGAAAGATTCCGTTCGAGACCATGATTACCCTTGTGTTCCTGGAAAGTGGGATATGAGTCAAGACGGTATTGCGGCTGTAGGTCACAAACTCTTCGACAGCTGTTCCGACTATGGTTGATGGACTTGAGGGGGTATACTACTAAACCATAAACCCCTAATCCTCTACTATCCCCTAAATGTATCCCTCAACCCGAAACCCCTAAACCCTTAAACCCAAATCTCAGAGTTAAGGGGTTTAGGGTTTAGAGTGGGGTATAGACGCCGCCTTACTAGACCCCCAAACCCTACACCCTCAACCCTAAACCAGACCCCTAAACCCCAAGCCCCTAAACTGAATCCCTCAACCCTAAAACCCCTAGCCCTAATCCAAACCCCTAAACCTCAAACCCTAAACCCCAAACCCCTGAAACTAAATCGCTAACCCCCAAAGCCCCCAGACCCGAAACCCAAAACAAGGGCCGAGGTCCAGGAAACTAGTACCCTATCAGGAACCCCTTGCAGCCTGAAAGGAACCCTTGAAGGAGCCCTTTAAAAGAACCCTTAAAGGAACCTT